AGAGAAGTAAAAAAAAAAAAAAAAAACATGTTTACGAGCAAGTGACTTCAGAGTGAACTGCAAACTTTTTTCCAAGCAACTCGGGTGTCCCTGCCTGAACCACTCTGGACAGAGTTTGTCAGGCACAAAGACCCCACTGGACAGTATCAGACCTGTCTGCTTCCACAGGCAATTATTTGATTCTACAATTACACAAATATGAATCCGATAGATAGCCAGAAGCGAGCCACAAGCCGCATCGCCGCGCATCCAATCTAAAAATTGTAAACACGGTAAAAGTCCACTGGATTCCAAAGCAAAATGTTTACAAGGTTGCAGTTTACCTGATGTAATTTCCGGACTATAAACCGCAACCTTTGTCACACGCTTTCAGCTCTGTGGCTTATTTAATAAAGCGGGCTACATAAAGATTTTTCTAATGGCCGTCAGGGAGCGCTCGAGCATAAAATGTAAGAGCGATGCACGTTCATATATACATTGGTAGAAAGCCTAATGAAGGAATGGCTAACCGAGTGTTACGGCAAGCGAGGATTTTGTTCATTGTGCTGTTTTACTGCCGTGGTGCTGACGCGTTCGTTACAGGCACTATTTGGAACGAAAAGTTAAGGGACGTTATTAAAACTTTGAAAACGCTTTCTGTGTACCGTCTTTCTTTGTAAATAGTTCATGTTACAATGTTGGCACCTGCGGCTTATTGACCGGTGCGGCTTATGTGTGAACAATATGTTTTTTGAAAATGTCGTGGGTGCATCTTATAATCAGGTGCGCTCTGTAGTCCGGAAATTATGGTAATTTGTTCAAAATAATAAATCTGATCTACACCCCCTTGACTAATCGATACTGAACTGATCTGTAATCATTACAGGATACATGGAAATTCTAGATGAATTTCATGGCTTGCACTTGACAAACTGACTGAGGGAAAAATCACAAGAAGCTATCCAAGACAGATGGGTGACGCTACATTGTCAAGCGTTTTACTTTACCCACGTCATTTAATGCGCCAGAGCATTGTGTCTAAGTTTGATGATCTTTTCCAGGATTTTTCATCAAAAGTGGGGGTGCGAGGGCCCATTCAATGGTCCGCGCAGCTTTCATTTTTCCTTATTTTTACCCCCAAGCAGGAAACTGATAGGCCTCCGCGCTGGCCAATGATGTGCTACAAATGGTGATGGTCCTGGCTCCGAAAATGTAATTTAGACCCGCTTTGACCACAAAATGGTGACATCAGGCCCGGGAATGGGGTGGCACACGCAATGCAGCCCGTCTCACTCACTTTCCTTGCAAAGTGAATTACCATGGCGATGATAAATACGGGCCGGGAAATTAAACACGTTCGGTGGCGTGCGGCGCGATTAGCCGAAGCGCGTCACGAAAGCCATGTTACCCCCACCCCCCACCCCCTCCCTACAAGGCCCAGACACTTAAAATGGAATCAGATTGCAGCGTCGCTCGTAGCTTTGGCGACAACTTGTGAGCCGGTAGTTATCATTTAAAACGCAGAGTTTGAAAAGCTTCAACATTCAAACGGCTATTCGTCGAAGCTGAAATTAACAGGGAATGGAATCCACCCCCCCTGCCTTATGGTTCTAGCTCGCTGAGCGCCGCAATCTCAAGGACAGTCTAAGGCAAGGGCAGCGGCTGCTTTACACATCCATACTGTATATTCAACAATGGCTCCACGCACTCAATGAGATGGAAGGGAGAGAAATGCTGAAGTCACCTCCTATAAAAAGTGCTGAGCGCTGGTGCTTGGTATGAAAAGACCCCCCCAATGACAATTTGCACACATTAGCCACCGGCATCGCTATCGGGCCATGGGAGTGTCTGGTGCCAAGTGTGAAGGGACGTTGGCTCCAAAAGTACCTCAGCGAGCAGATTCCTGCTGATGACAGAAGGCCACCGCACATAAACTCCAAGCCATTAGAAAATTAGATTGATTGATCACTGCTGCGCAAACTATGGAGGTGAACTCGCAGTTCCCGTGGATGACAACGCCAACTGTTTAAGCATTTCATTTGCGATCGGATGCCCTGGGGAAATGACGCATTATTTTCGGTTAGCTTGCTTGAGAAACTGATGAAATGGCAGCGCTCACATCACTACCGTTAGCTTGTCGCAACCGGGCTTTTTTTTCAGCCTCTTGCCACTTGGGACACGTTGAAGTCAACATTTTGGTCGGTGTGATTTGGTTGCGCTTTATCCTGAATTTGTTAGAGATTGACAGAGCGCAGTTTAGAATGGTAACAGCAGGAAATTGACCCTGTTGTCGTGCTGCTGGCTGATATTGGTGGGTAAGGACACAGCTGAGCCAGGGTTGCCAGTGTTCAGTCCCGTGTCTCGGACTCGGAGTACATTTAAGTTGCTAGTTTTATGACTTGTGACTTGCTCGGTAATATAAGATATACTCATATGCTGCAGCTTTTACTGCACACGCATGAGCTGCTTTGATGACACTAAACCATGCAATCACATTCGTTTTAGAATAGGCAGCTCTTTTGGGACAGAGGGGTTCAAATTCATAAAGCATCACGTGACTTCCCGAGCCCACGGTGCGAACCAGCGCCGATGTTTTGACTCAACCTATCTTTCATTTATTGTTTTGTAATGCCATTTGTATTTCTATGTTTCATGTCCGTGTTTGTGACCAGTTCTCATGGTTTTGTTACAGCTGCCGCGATTGTGAAGGCTCTATTAAATAAAGCTGTATTGTAGTGTATTTTATTGTATTTCCTTTAGCATAGCTCCATCTTGTGGATGCATTGTGCAACCGCAGCCATTATTCTATCTTATGTGCCTTATAATAATGCAGTCCGCCCGACATATGAAAACAGTTTTAAAATAGGACATTCATTGAAGGTGGGCCTTATAATCCGAAGCGCCTCATACTGCAGAAAATACAGGTCAACTTCATGTCCATTATGCATTTATTTCTTAAGACAATAAAGTGACGAGACACCATGGCGAGTGTAATTTTGGAACTGTACCAGCAAAAAAAAAAAAAGAGATAGCATAACCACCTATCCATCACTATTATTTTGAGTACTTCTCTGGTTGTGAGTACTTATGTGACATGTTGATGTGAGATGACCCTTGTAAACTAATGCTCATCAATTACACTTAACTTCATAAAGTGTCAACCTACAAGGTTAATAATGCCGCTCATTCAACCATTAGCACATACTCTTTTTAAAAAAAAAAATCTGATTATTATATATTTACTCTCCTATTCAGAATATTTCAATATTTATCATCACCGTGACAGTGTGACACTCATACAAGAAGTAGGAAGTAATAAAAAATGAACCTGCATTGTTCGAAATAATTGAATGTAAACATTCATTGAATATTCTTAAATTGTCATTTGTTCAATATTTAGAGAGAATGCCCTTTTTTTTGTCTG